AACTGAACCCGGTCACCCAAACATCCTTCTGTGGTGTTCCGCCCCCAAGTGCTCTACGATCTCGATTCCGTTTCCGACTTCGACTCCGTCTCCGTCTCCGTCCCTTTGGTCGACACGGCACTTAACAATTGGACAAAATAGGTTTCAACTGAAGTTGCGAAGCTTGCTTGGTCGGAAGCGCCATTGTCTGTCCAAGAACAGGTCGACAGTATCGCTGAGCTTGTCAACACGCCTTCCATTGGTATCGACAACTATGCAGCTCAAGCGACAGTTCAAGCAAACATTGCTGCTGCTCAGACGGAAGAGGATGCATGGGCTGTTCAATGTATGTCTATATTTCTGGAGTTTTTGACATTTTATAATTTTATTATAGCCCCGCTGCAGAAGGAGATGGGTATTTTTGGTGGAGCCCATCTCGATTATCGTGATGGTGTTGGTCATTACGCATATGGGTGCAAATGGTGATATACCTGTGGGCTATCGTTCAGGGCTCTTCTTCATCTTGATGTTGGGGGTCTTTGTTGAGCTTGACTAACACACATCTGTGAACTTCTCGGGGCTTCGCAAACACGGTGGAACTCCTCCTACATCTCCAACTGGTCAGGCCCTGACTGGATGGGCTTACCGTTTTGTTATCATCCATTATCCTTGGGGTACTCTAATGAACGGTGCATCCCGAATTTGCTCTTGCAGCTCTCCCACAACAACATCCTTTTTTCATGGGCCCGGAGTTTATGCATGCTGGGTTCGTAGTTTGAATTATTCTTTCCCTTGAATTAATCCTATATTCCAGAATTGATGCATGTGCTGAACGAAATTGGCCAGTCACGGGAGCGTGCAAACGCGCAACCTTCGCAGCTGACGGTGAAATATTAATGACTCACCGAATGCTTGTAACATTCTTTGTGCGGGCGCTACTCCTCATGGTGTTCTGGTTCATCCTCCAACTTCCCAAATCCTGTCAAGTTCAGCTGAACTCAACACTCTTCCTTCAGTCAATCACCTTTGTCGATGACCAGGGAAATCGTGTTTGTACAGGTCCATGGAAGTTTGCGCCTGGCCATTCTGATCCAGATATTGATTTGACTCAACCTGTGGACAACTCGAAGTTAGTTGATCAAAACAAGGTTCAGTCAGACGCATGGCGGCTATGGTATCAGTACACTGAGAAGGTGGCTTGTCATCTCCCCTTTATTGGTCGATGGGGACCTTTTAATCGTTATAGTCCAAGTACGTTTCTACTTTTTATGTCAAGCTTTTATAATTTTTCATTGAAATAAGGTGCTATCAATCTGAACGTTGGCAATGATAACAACGACAACGACGAGGCCCAACTAATGGCAGCCAATCAACCTAAACCTAAACGAACGCGCAAATCAAGTGACAAGACCGTGTCAAAACAAAAACGCAAGTCCAGAAAAGATACTTTGGCTAGTTCCCAACGTCGCCACAACAACAACAACAACAATACTGAGGACACGTCACCTGTGGAGAACGAGGACGATGCCGATGATAAGGATAGTGATCATGCCGTCTCAAATCTATCTGCTCGTTCTCTTCGTTTATTACGGCGGCGTACTGCAAATGGTATGTCAGCTTCTGAATTTATTTCTCAATAAGGACTGAAATATAATAGGTCAGCAAACCGATCTCAGGGAAATTCAAGGTATGTTTGTGGTATTATCTATATATTCTGTCATGCTAATAACTCAGATTTGAGCCGGAATCAGTCAACGACTCTGGGAAAGCGCAAAATAAATACTGATGAAGGTAAATAATTCCAAAAAACTATTCATGTTAAATAAACTTGGATAATTTAGGTTCTCATTCCTCAAAGCGGGTCAGAACTCATGCACATATATCTGGTATATGATTTCTGTGATAATTAATATATATTGAACCGGATAGATATTGAGCTACCACCTTGGACTGCTTTATCATATGACACAATCGCCATAATGTCTGCTGATGAGGGTCCGACCTTGGTTCAACAGCACTCAAATCAGTCCCTGGAGGAATCTGATCAGCAGGGAACAACCTGGATTCCAATGCATATTGATCACTCAGGTCAATCTCTTAAATAAACCTGGTCGCCTTATCTATTCTCATAATTTCTCATATAGATGATTTTAACGCAACCCCTGAAGTTCTGAATCAACAGAACATTGAAAATCAGACTATTGAGGGTACGATTCTATTTTATATCATTTTTAGATTAACCACAACTGCATATTCAGACTTCTTCGCTGAGGCTGCAGAGCGGCGAACAATAACTTTTATCTCAGAGCAGTCATCGTGCGTTGTCAGTCTTATATATCTGAATTTTTTATGAGAATAAAATAGCACAAATTCCTTTTATTCATTCATTTACCTCAACAATGCTCAACAAAAATCTTAATGATGTGCAAGCTGCCTGGGACCGTTATACTGCAGTCATTGGAGGCTCAGAGGTCTCCCCACCTGTATGGGGTACAGTTTTTGATGCGCTAGGGTCTAATCCAGGCGACGTCAAAACTGCATCTCAGTTGATTGCACTTTGGGCTGGGATACGACACTTGAAAACAATAGAGGCAGCTCAGTCGCTTCATACCCGTTTGACTCGAGAGAGTATCATGCTTACGACTTACTTTGGCTTTCGATGGCTTAACACATACTGCCCAAGTATCATCAAGACGACTTATCTTGCAGCTACAACTGGCCAGGCTATTCCAGATGCACTTTGGGCTGGGATACGACACTTGAAAACAATAGAGGCAGCTCAGTCGCTTCATACCCGTTTGACTCGAGAGAGTATCATGCTTACGACTTACTTTGGCTTTCGATGGCTTAACACATACTGCCCAAGTATCATCAAGACGACTTATCTTGCAGCTACAACTGGCCAGGCTATTCCAGATACCTGGATTGCCAAACTGACACTTGATGTTATGCGTCTTCTCCAACAGCCTCATCACTCAGGACCAACTACGTTCACTGCTACTGACTATGGTCTTGATATTGGTCCAATATCGTTCAAATATCACGACAGCCGAAAATTTCTATTCCTTCATAACAACGACCCGAGTTCCTTTAATCGACTGCTCTCTATTACCCGGTGTATTATCAGCGCATGGTTGACATTCCCTGCTGATGATGAAGTCTATCAAGCGTGGCTTGTTTTTGCAGTTTTACACAATATTGGACGATCAGCATTGCTACTCGATCATGTCTGGTATGCTTTTACCAACATTCGCCAGCAGGTCTTAAAAGGCTGTTCAACCCATCTGGAATGTCGACTACGCTTTGAGCACCTGACTAAGGCGTTAACCACTCTCCCCCTCTCCCAGACGTCTAGTCCAGAGTATGCCACATTAACCTCTCTTGCAACGATAATTCATCCTCTGCGTGCACCAGCTGCAATATCTGGCTTTTCATCACCTCTGATCGATGCACGAGATTTCCGCGCATTAACAAAATCACCTATTCATCCCTCTGAATCTTCCACCTCTATGCCTACGACTTCTATATCAATACCTGCAGGTGTTGACCGTCTCTCACTACTGCTTGAATCAGTACCCGCAGAATCTCGATCTCATTTTAGAGGTTTTGCTCGTTTCATTGAAGATGCACTTGCAGTAACACTCCAACGACAAACCATTTCGCAGCCAAACAAATGGCAAGCCAAGATTATAGCAGATGGTGATCGTTATACGCCAATTCGTGAATATGGCCCATCACGAATGCGTGTTAAAGGGACGATGAACCATGGAATGGATATTGATGGCGGCTTTCTCAATGCACTGATATTCCGTGGTGTGTTATTCCGAACCCCATTTCTTCTCAATGATTCCCATTGCTCTGGTGACTATCGAACTGTAGAGAAATTCAACACAGAGGTTCAAGAGGCCAAAACATCTTCAAATCGCGATAAGGCCTATTTTTGCAGTCAAACTGCATATGGAACTTGTGCAAAGGATCGCAACATCGAAAATGTTCCAATTTATCTCAACCGTATTCGGCACCATCCTATCAGCAGTGTTTTATCACATACCGATGGCCCCATATCCTTCTCAGTGTTTTTGACCTGGTTACGCACATGCAAGATGCCAGCCATTGGTGATCTTACTAGCTACTTGCTCGCAGCCCGACTACACATACGCCACTCCCTCTTGCGTACAACCTCCAACACCAGAGGAGCTTGGAAAGGCTATCGCCCATATGAATCGTGGTGCTGTTGCAGGCTTGGAGTTGTTAGGTCTGATACCGATGCCGCGAGCGCAAGGTGTCTCATACATGGAACAGCAAGAAAAAGGCCCTGGTGAAAAGGGTACGCACTGCGAAGGCCGATCCTGCAGCCTGTACAGAAGGCTTGAAGATTGTACACAACTTTCTTTGTGCACTCATTCCCGAACCGATTCGACTGCAAATTTCTTTTGATTATGTTATGGTGGAGCACACATTGTGCAAAGTTTCAAGGGCATGGGGTGACGGATTGGCTAAGGATTATTTCAACTTTATACAACCAGTTACACTGTTCACCATAGATGTGTTGAACAGGCAAGCACAGAGGTCTGAGGTCAACAGTGAGAAACTCTAGATTGGATGTACAAGGAAGACTTGCCTGAGGTCAACAGTGAGAAACTGGGGACCTCAGAGCGAAACTAGACTACTTATATATGTATGAGTATGTATCTAGTATGCATCTAGTATGTATCTAGTATCAATCTAGGAAGGATGTGTAACAGTAAAGGAACAATGTGTATCAGATATGTATCAGATAGCTAACAGAGACCATGTAACACAGAGATAAGACGAGATTGAGAGAGATAAGACAAGATAGAATGAGACTGAATGAAGCCAATAGCACAGATTTCAACAAGATGATGACTAACAATCTGTTAATTTAAATTAACTGGGAGCAGGAGGGTAAGAGTGTCATGCCTGGGCCTTGCGATGCCGCTGTCCCTACTGTGTGTGCCCTGTTGCAGAAGACAGGCAATTTTGCATTCATTCTGAGAATCATGACGGATCAAATTCCTCATGAATCCCTTTCTTTCCTTGTCATTATGAAGTTGATGCTCCGCCGCCCCGACGTCTGGCCATTATCTACGTTCCTGGGTATCCTGGACCTGAAAACAGGCGTCACCATTGCCATTCTGTTCACGGTAAGTCTCTATCACTTGCGAAATCGTTTTTTTTAAGAGTGCTAGGTGCTCAACAAAGTCGCTGGAGTGTATGGACTGATAGCTATGTTGACGGGAGTGGGAGGGACGTTTGCCCAGCTGAGCTTGTACCTCTACTCGGTCGTCGCCCTCGTCGCGTTTGGGTGGGGTTTACAAGTGGTCAAAACCATGCGCCAGACTCGCTTCTCGTTGTGTCATTGGCGCTAATTAGGCTGGACAGGAAGACGCGCGGCAGACGCTCTACTTTGCTCATGTTTTCAGCGCGGACTATGTGTTGTCGACACTGTGGACTGCCTATTTTGCTGCTGCTTGGTGGTGGCATACTCCACACGATGGTGCGCGCCAGGCCAACTCAGCCGGCGCAAGAAGTATCCATATGCTAGTTCCGGAACTACCTCAAAAGCAACTTCCAAACGCGGGACAGAGAGCAGCAGCACCAGCTCGGACGATGATTCTGCTTTTGCTCCTCCCAATCGTCGGCCCACAAACTTCCCTGCATCCCAACCTTCTTCTCCGCCATCGGATGGGTCGCGGAGGACACATGCATTGTTGTTGGAGTAAGAGATGGTCGACTTGAAGTAGAAATAGTACTTGACGCGGAGTGAATCAGTGATCCCGCTTGGAGCATTGAGTGTTCTTATTCGGTGCGTCGACCTAGTTTTTTTGTATCTTGTCTTCCTGAACATTCACTAGCGCAATCCTAGCCTCCTTTCTTCTAAATGAAAGACTTTGTTGAAATCTGTGCTATTGGCTTCATTCAGTCTCATTCTATCTTGTCTTATCTCTCTCAATCTCGTCTTATCTCTGTGTTACATGGTCTCTGTTAGCTATCTGATACATATCTGATACACATTGTTCCTTTACTGTTACACATCCTTCCTAGATTGATACTAGATACATACTAGATGCATACTAGATACATACTCATACATATATAAGTAGTCTAGTTTCGCTCTGAGGTCCCCAGTTTCTCACTGTTGACCTCAGGCAAGTCTTCCTTGTACATCCAATCTAGAGTTTCTCACTGTTGACCTCAGACCTCTGTGCTTGCCTGTTCAACAGGTTATGGGCCCCGCTCTCTGAGCTATTTCTGAGTGTTTTTCCTTGTGTGTGAGACTCCCTCTGCTCAACATCTCTGTCCTTTGTGTGTGTGGTAGTCTCTAGTATATAGGAGCTTGAACTGTTGGGGTAATCCTTGTATAAGGCATCCTTTGGGTCACTAGACAACATTGTGGTAACCCCACTGAGTCTAGGGATTGCGATCTCAAGAGAGATTACAACTGCTTGCTCATTTACCTACTATCTCTCTCTCTCTTTCTCTCATCACCACACACACTACTGAGGGCGCCACTTGCCTATTTGCAGTGGTTTTAGCTTTGGATTCATTTCCATCCATTCACTTCTCTCTCACTCCACACAATGGCAAACTCGGATGTTATGCCTATTCTTGCTAAGGACACTTCTTTCCCAAGTTGGAAGAGTGATGCCAAGGCCTATTTGCGCAGAAAGGAGGTGTTTTCTGCTTGTCTTGCTTCTACAGAGGCAGACAAGAAAGCACTTGGTGCAGTTGCCATTGACAAGTGTGCTGGCATTCTGTGGGGCATGCTCTCTGCAGAGGTCAAACCTCTTGTTAAGCAGCATGAGGACGATCCTTGTGCCCTTTGGAAAGCCCTGGAGGACATCTTTGCCCCCAGGAAGGCTGTGGTGCTCGCTTCACTGCCTACAGAACCCTCACCTCAATTCGTCTTAGAGATGGAGAATCACTCCTAGGGCTCTCTGGTCGTGTTTCTACTGCTATGTCTCTCTTGAAAGAGTCAAGACCAACCGGTTTTGACCTCTCCAAGGCAGATGAAGAGCTACAAGCTGTGGTTCTTCTTATGGCTCTTCCTGATGAGGGACTCTTAGGAGTTCTCAAAGCACCTTTTGAGCAGTCTACTGAGCTCAAGGTGTCAGAGATCGAAACTGCCTTTGCCAATCACCAGGCATTTCGATTCCAGCATCAGGAAGGTGACACAAGTTCAGCAGAGCAAAATCCTCTGTCTGGTCTTGCTATGGCTGCAACCCCTCCAACTGTTGTCCCACCAACCACCACCTGCTGCCGCAGTTGCTGCTCCTGCAGTTGATCCTTGCATCTTCTGCAAAAGCTACACCTCCCTCTCAAGTGTCCAGACTTCCTGGCCTTGTTAAAGGGCAAACACCATGCCAAAAAGGGCGGAAATGGTGAAGGTTCAGCAACAGTCCAAAGTGCTGCTAATGCAAGTCTTCTTACCCTCTCAACTCTTATGCTTGCTGACCCAAGATGGAATCCAGACTCAGGAGCCACGTCGCATATGACCCACCAAAAGGAGCGTCTACTCAATGCTAGGCCCTTCAGGATACCCATACAGGTTGCAAACGGAGTAATAGTCTACTCAGAGTTGATTGGAGATGTCTTGTTGAAGCCTGTACTTAGAAAAGGACAATTAGGTCGACACATTCTACTCACTTCTGTCTTGTATGTTCCGGGTTTATCCCATAATCTTATCTCTACCACTCATCTGTCTCGAGTTCATGGGCTCTCTGTTGTTATGAAGGGATGTACCATCTCCTTTGAACATTCTGGAGAAGTTCTGTTTGAGGCAGACATTGATGAGAGGAACCAAGCACATGTGAATGAAGTTGTCGATTCCATTCCTCAATCAGCTTTTTCTGCATCTGGGACTTTGCCTCTTGACTTGGACTTGCTGCATCGTCGGCTTGGACATCACTCTGACACTCAGAGGGTCTTGAGCAAGAATCTGGTGACTGGAGTGAAGCTCACTTCACAAAAGAAACCAGATCCCATTTGTGAACCATGCCTAGCTGGCAAGCTGAGTGCTGCACCTTTTCCCTCTACTGGTCATCGTTCTGGAGCGCCTCTTGATCTGGTTCACTCTGATCTCAAAGAATACCGTGTCTACACTCGAGAGGGTTACAGATACCGAATAGTCTTTGTTGATGATCATACTAGCTTTAAGGTGGTTCAACACCTGAAGCGTAAGAGTGATGCCTTTGCTGCTTTCAAAGAGTTCAAAGCTTATGCTGAGAACCACTTTGGCGCAAAATCAAGGCTTTTCAGGAAGATAAAGGTGGAGAGTACATGTCTAATGAGTGGGATAGATATCTCAACTCAGAGGGCATTGTGCGTCGCCATTCGGTGAGGAACAGGCCACAGCAGAATGGAACAGCAGAGCGTGCTAATCGTACCATTGATGAGCATGCTACGGCTATGTTGCATGAGGCAAACTTGCCCCCTTCTTTCAAGGCTTTGGCTGTGAATGCTTACATTCATGTGTCCAACATGCATCCTACTTCTCACATTCCTGAGGATACTACTCCTCATGAATTGTGGTACAAGTCGAGCCAAGTGTGGCACACCTTCGGGTTTTTGGTTGCCTTGCCTATGTGCATGTGCAAAAGGACAAAAGGCCCACTTCTGGTATTCATATTCAGAAGTGCATCTTTGTTGGCTACCCTCGTGGCTATAGGGGCTGGGCATTCTATAACCCAGCCACCAGGAGGATTGTTATTGCTGAGCATGCTGTGTTTGATGAGCGCTACTTCCCTGGCAATAGCCCTACCCAAATGGCAAAGTGTCCTCGCATTGAGCCTTCTGTCTTCTCTCGTCTCAATCATCTCCCTCCTCCTCCACCTGATGGCATTTATATTCCAGATGGTGATGATGATGATGATGATAATGACACTCCCGCTCATCCTATACCAGCCCCTGCTCCTGCACCCCTTCTCCATCTCCATCTCCATCCCCCTCCTAATCTTCCTAACCTGCCAGAGCAAACTCCCCCGCCTTCTCCAGTTGGAGTGGCAGCTAGGACGTCGCTTCCATGGTCAGATCACTGAGCATAGAGCTCCGGGGAGTGGTGGAAGGCTTACAGAGAGCCTACACCAGCTGTATCATCAGGTGAAGAATCATCTGATGATGAGTTGCTTCTCAAACCTGGCAGTGTTATGATTGTTGCCCATGAAGGCGATCCAATGTCTCCTGACTTGCAACGTGCTAACAGTGCCGTTGCTGCTCTTATGAGAGTTATGTTGGCTTCAGATCGTCTTCCTAGGAACCTACCTGAAGCATTGCGAATGGTAGATGGGCATTTATGGGATGAGGCAGCTATCGCAGAGATTCATGCTTTGCTTGAGAACTGTACATGGGAAGTGGTGGACGCACCTCCTGGTGTTAGCCCTATTCGTGCCCAATGGGTCTTTATCAAGAAGTACAAGTCTGATGGCACAATTGAGCGCTACAAGGCCCGGCTTGTTGCTGATGGTCGTAGACAGCGCCCAGGTGTGGATTTTAATGAGACATTCTCTCCCACCTTTAAACCTGCCACCCTCCTCACTATTTTTGCTCTTGCTGCTCAGCATGATATGAAGCTTCGTTCCATTGACTTCTCCTCTGCTTATCTCAATGGGGACCTTGAGGAAGATGTCTATATGACTCAACCTCCTGGCTTTCCTCAAGGCAGACCGGACCAGGTGCTTAAACTTCTGCGCTCTCTTTATGGCCTGAAGCAAGCAAGTCGGCAATGGTACAAGAAGCTTTTAGGGAAACTTGTTTCCATGGGATTCAAATGCCTCCAGTCTGATCACTCCTGCTATATCTACTCAGATGGCAATGTGCGCATCATACTCCCCATTCATGTTGATGATGGTGTTATCTGTGCTAAAGATGATGCTGCCATTGACCGGGTCATTGCTCAACTTGGCACTTCCTTCAAAGTCAAGAACCTTGGTCCCACTGAGTTCTTCTTGGGGATCAAGGTAGAGCGTGATTCCCAGACTGGAGCCATTTCCCTCTCCCAGCACCAATATGCTGTGGACATGCTTGAGCAGTATGGGATGTCTGATTGTAATCCTGTGCAAACTCCGATGTTGCCTGGTCTTTCCTTGACCAAGGAGATGGGAGCCAAGACAGAAGATGAGTCAAAGCGCTACAAGAGTATTTATCTCTCTGCAGTTGGCTCTCTGATGTACTTGGCTACCCAAACTCGTCCAGATATCTCCTATACAGTCGGAGTTCTTGCCAGATACAACAGCAACCCTGGCCCAGTTCACTGGTCAGCTGTGAAGCATCTGTTCCGCTACATCAAAGGGACACTTGACTTCAAGCTGACTTACACCAAAGAGGCATCTCCTTCATCACACATCTTCACTGCTTATGCAGATGCTGATCATGGTGGCTGCAAAGACTCTGGAAAGAGTACTGGTGGCTACATGATTATGATGAATGGTGCTCCAGTGAGCTGGAAGAGCAAGCTGCAATCGACTGTCTCTCTTTCTACAACAGAGGCAGAATATATTGCAGCTGTAGAGGCTGGTAAGGAAATCAAGTGGATGCGCAATCTGCTCTCTGAATTGGGTTTCCCTGTATCTGGATCATCCCCATTGCTCATGGACAACCAGTCTGCCATATCTGTTGCAAAGAATCCTGAGCATCATGGGCGTATGAAACACCTAGACCTTGCCTTCTTCTGGCTTAGAGACGAAGTTGGCAAGGGCACAATTGGTGTCCAGTATGTTCCCACTCAAGACCAGTTGGCAGACATCCTCACAAAGGCTTTACCTCGTCCTGCAGTTCTCTCTCTCAGAGAGCGACTTGGACTCCATGGATGAGACTGCTTTCATCCCGGGGGAGTGTTGAAATCTGTGCTATTGGCTTCATTCAGTCTCATTCTATCTTGTCTTATCTCTCTCAATCTCGTCTTATCTCTGTGTTACATGGTCTCTGTTAGCTATCTGATACATATCTGATACACATTGTTCCTTTACTGTTACACATCCTTCCTAGATTGATACTAGATACATACTAGATGCATACTAGATACATACTCATACATATATAAGTAGTCTAGTTTTCGCTCTGAGGTCTCCAGTTTCTCACTGTTGACCTCAGGCAAGTCTTCCTTGTACATCCAATCTAGAGTTTCTCACTGTTGACCTCAGACCTCTGTGCTTGCCTGTTCAACAGACTTGGCCATCTCGGTCGAGTTGGCTGCGCTTTATGTCTACTTGGCTCTGTCATAATCGTGCTGCATGCGCCGGACGACCAGCCTATTGACACGATAACCGACTTTCTCAACTACGCTCTCAAGCCAGGGTTCCTGCTGTACTGTTTTGTCATCTGCGTTGGCTCTGTCGTCCTTGCATATGGAGTTGCTCCAAAACTTGGCCGCAAGAACCCCGTGGTTTTCATTTCTATCGCGTCACTTGTTGGAAGTGTGTCAGTGATGTTTGTGAAGGGCTTTGGCATTGCGGTCAAGCTTACATTCGCGGGCAAGAATCAGTTTGTGTACCCAAGCACGTATCTGTTTGGCGCAATCTCTGCCGCCTGTATTGTCATCCAGCTCAACTGCTATAAAGTAGACCTCGGTGAGGCTCTAACTGCTCGGACGGAGAGTCTCTGTGCGTTGCAGTAGTAGTTGGAAATACTTCTCCGCTGACGACCTCGATAGCAACCGCGCCGCCGTGTACCTCCTTATATAATCAGTGTTTCAAAACAGTGTAACACTGTCACATACGTGTTTCTGTCGCGAGCAGACTTGGCCTTGGAGCCAAGCCTCCGCCAGTTGCGCGTGCGGCCTGCTCGCGGATGGTGATTTCGTCGCACGCCGGAGAACTACAACTGGCCCCAGTGCAGCCACGACGAGATATGCAATGTGCGGGTGTTCGTTGTGGGTGGTAAGCCAATCCTGTTGCTGTCTGTCTATTTGGTTTAAGATCTATATAGATGCAGCGCGTTGCCACAGCCCCGCTGGCCATGGCAGCCAGGGACTCAACTCCAGTATTAAGACTCAGCAAATCTCGTGCTGGTCATCAAGAACCTGGCAGCGGACTCGGTGCTCAACATTTACATTTGCAGATGCTCAAGCTGACCATATTGCTGCCTAGAAGGAGACGGCGCACTGTGGGGGAGCACCTGCCAGCTAGGACGACCAAGACAGGCGTCGCGGAAACTGTGCCAGCCTTTGTTTATACCAACATGATCTGTGTTTGACCTTGCGCAATCGTCCGAGACAGCGCCAGTAAGTTATTTGGTATCTCTGTTACTGTCCTGTGGCCTAACTGGCATGAATTCCAGCGCTTGTGATTGGCGCTACAGGGAAATTGAAATGGGAATGTGGCTGGCCAGATGGTCCACTATGCTCTAAACATCCAAATAGGTATCTGGGACTGCTGTTGGCATTCTGCCCGGATTCTGCCCTACTTTCCAAAACAAGTGACCACTAGGACAAAAATCCGGGCAGCCATGAAAGCGCCCAAGATTACTAGTGTGTGGTACTTCCCTTGACTTGAATCTACTCTAAAACTAGTCACCTTATATCCCTGACAGTGGGGACTGGCTCTGGACCACATAGCACCTCTACTAGAGACAGATGACCACTTCTCACTAATATAATACTTATAATTATTATTCCAAGTTAATTTGTCATAATTATGACTAACCAAATTGATTATACCTTGCTTTACGTGAAGGTCGTGCAGAACGACCTTCACGTAAGGCAAGTCAAACTTTGTGACATGTCATTTTTTACCCTTGTTTTGCTCTGTTATTATGACCTCCTCATCGAATACTGCTGGCCTTTTTGGTTAACACGATTAATTTTCGGAATCCAGCAACCTCATATTTCCTTGGCTTTCCTCTAAGCAACTCCAACGACCTTTCATTACCTCAGCTTTCACCTGAGAATGTTGCGCTATTTGAAGGAATGAAAACGGCTTTCCAGCACCACTTTACCTATTTTTCTTTTGGGCCCACCTCTATAGCAGGCCTTGCATATCTCAACAATACTCAACCAACTTCTATACAACGACAGGAAGTTAATGGTGCCGGTCCTACCACCGGCTATGGACTACACCAGGCGATCTTAACCGCCCTGCTTCTGGATTGGAATTTGAAATTTGGACTTGGAAGTGGGGATGATGAACAACTCGAAAAGTCAGAGTATTATTGGCAAGATGGCATTCGCTCTCTTACTCGTATTCTTGGAAGTCCAACCAATCTTAGCGGCCCAAAAGTACTTTCCATAAAGATGAAAAAGGTATGGCGTAATGCTAATTATTACTATCGTCAAAATTCAAAATTAACGGATCTACTCAGGATCTTCCTTTATCATTATTCGAAATGGCTCGACAAGCACTTTCTTCTCTAGATCGGGTTGGGAAAGCTAAGGCTGATAAACGAAAGAGAACCCAAGAAAAACGACAACAAGAGAAGGAGTTCATACCACCAGAAACGGAGAAGGAGATCGATGGCAACTTTTACGTATCAGCCTTCCGAAAGACTAGCGAAGCTGAAGAAAGGGGGTTTCGCTCGCACTTCAATGTGGTATATCTAGTACTTGTTGGTTATTTGATTCTCACTGGGGGCAAATTGTCTTTTTCCACCCTGGAAAAAGTTGAGAAAAAGTTGAGAAAAATCAATATTTTCTGGCTATTTTCCCATCTTTTTCCAGCCTGGAAAAAGTTAAGAAAAAAACTTATTTACTGGCTATTTTCTCATCTTTTTCCATGCTGGAAAATAACTTATTTTCTCATTATTTTCTCATTATTTTCCCAACTTTTTCCAGGCTGGAAAAAAAGTTTTTTTCCAGGGCGGAAAAAGTTGAGAAAAAGTTGAAGAAGCATTACCAAATTAGGTATAGTTAGGATTCTTAGGATTCTTTTAGGATTCTCCTTATTGGGATTAGCCTTATAAGGTAAAAACAAATACCTATATATAGTAAATATGCTGCTTATGAACAGTCGGAAACAAAATATATATTTTTAAAACAAATATCCATAAACCAGTCAGAAATACAATACATTCTCACCATTCTATAGGACTACTAGCACTTGGAAACTCAGCATCCTGATCACTTCTGCTATCTGAACTGCCACTAGTATCATCTTGAGACCATACTTTCTCTTGATCATTATCCAGATATGTAAATGCAATATGCACTGCCCGGAGTTTGTTCATCTGACTTGCCTTCTGCCATACTTGTTTCCCTTTTCTCTTGTTTGTAGGCAACCAACTCTCATAATAAAAGGTTTGTAAACTGGCCTGGAGAATTAAATCCTCAATAGCCTCCAGTACAGATATCTGAGTTTCATTGTTTTGCACGATGGAAATAGAAGTAAGGCAATGTAAGGGCAACCCCGGAGGCCTGAGATCAAGGTCCTAGCAGGGGAGGATCCAAAGAGTGAATAGAAGTAAGCAAATACAAGTGAGGCTGACCTAGCAGGGGAGGATCCAAAGAGAAGAAACTCTAAGGGTCCGCCTGCTAGGTAGCGGAACTATATACTGCGCTCTTGACGCGCCAAGGTTGATCGTTGCTCCGTGCAGTATGCCTGCGCCATGTCGCAGGCCAGGTCCCAGGGGGATCGCCAGGCGGGGGCGGCGATGCGCCTGACGGAGGCGGTGATGGCGATCACCGGAGTCGGAACCGGAGTCGGACCGGAATCGGGATCGTCTCCGAGGGGCCGAAAGGGAGGTTCCCCTGACAGGCAAGGGAAAAACTCTTTCTTGCACAACTGCTGAATCCACTCAATGTCCAGGGACCGCATCTGAAGAAACAGATTTGAGATGGTGGCAGAAATTGTCTTAAGTAATATGTTGACTTGGAATTCTGGCCATGTGTAATATCCTTGAAGATTCAGAGATTGAACTTGAGAGCCAGATCTCTGTATCATTCCAGACAGAGCATTAAGAGTCTCAATTGTTATATCTACAGCAGTGATCTCTTTGAGAGCTGGAAGATATAGTTTGTTTAGCAGATGGAAGGTAGTCCCATATATTTCCAATTCACATAGCCTAAGCAGGTGAATAGTTGGCTTGTTTGTAAGAGCAGTTATATCATGCTGAGTGTCTGCATAGATGAATGATAGAGTCAATATTTCAAGACTAGGGGCTGCCTCTAGAATATCCAAAGTCAGATGGGCAGGGTTGTAGATTATTTTAAAGCATGTCAGTTGCAACCATGGCAATGCCACAAGAGATAGGCTGATTGTGCTCCCTTGAAGCTCCAGGGTTTTAAGTGCAGGTGTATGCAAAGCCAATAAAGAAATCATAGGCACTTGCTCAGGATTCTCTGATATTCCAAATGTCAGAGTATCCAGCTTATCAAGTTTGCAATCTTGAAGAATGCTTTGGAAAGTAGAAACCATATCTTGTGTGTGATATGTGGGATTGAACAATCTCTTCCACTTGATAGAGAATGGTGCTGCCTTTGCTAAAATGACCAATGCTGTTTCACTGAGACTAGAGCGCAGATCCAGTGTCAGAATGTTTGAGTACTGCAAACATCGGAATAGGTGATGCTGTTTATCAGGATTATAACTATAACCAGTACTGTCAAAGTTGTTCCAAAAGGCAGGAGTTGAGAGAACAAGATTCTTCCATTTAAGACAGACAAGAGCAAGAGTAAATGGATCTGTGTCCTTTGCATAATGTTCAAAGATTTCAAGCCAGATTTCATTTGGAATCTGATCTTGAATGAGCTTCCAAAGCTGTTGAGATAGTACACTGCGCAGTTGGACAAGTGTATCTCCTGCTATATTGATAGATTCAATATTTTTACGGATTACAGCTATATAAGAGATCTGAATTATCTTCATATAATCAAGCAATGCATAGACATACTCTGGTTATCAGCTTGGCCTATATCCAATGCAAGCAGAGCTTGGAAAACTTTGTCCAGTAGGAAAGTCATAATGAGAGATAGAAAGTAAGCTATGATTACACATTGATGTATTACTTCATTTGTTCACGCTGCTCTAATGCATAAGCCTACAAGTTCAATTTCTTTCTGTCTGTGCACTTTTACTCTAATTAGACAAAATACATTCATACTATTCTATATGCTACTAGCACACTAAGCTGGTATACTATGGTTCAATACTGTTCCAGATTTGTCTATATACCATATCTGAAACAACATATAGCATAAATTTGAGGTAGCTTTGTTTATATGTACAATATACTAAAGTACAACAGACTCTTGGGCATACTTCCTTAAGACATTTAATTATACAAACAAACAAAAAACCAGTAGTTTTCTCGCCTATATATATTGGAAAAAAAAAACTGATCTACACATGTACAACAGAAATTTTTTAAGTCAGTTCGCTTGGTTATGATCTGTTTAAGAGATATAGGAATGTTTTTTCTATCTTTGTCCTGTTTTATATAAAGATGTGTGAGTGCAGGAAGAAAGTCTCTTGTATGCAATGCCTGTCTGAAGAAGGGGTACCTGTATGCTTCCAGATACTTTAATGGCACAGATAGTTGATGCAAGGTAGAAGACATGGTTTCAAGTAACATTGGAAATGTCTGCCACCAATGATGGTACTCCTCCACATCTAGAGATTCCATTGAGCAACCATGTTTGTTGATTATTTTCAATAGAGTGTGAAAAGTTTCTTGTCCTAAACCAGAAATTCCTAGTATTTTGAGAGCTGGAACATGCAGAACCCCAATTGCATTTAATGGAATGCCAGGACCTATTTCAAGCTTAGAGAGTTTAA